TTAAAAGGCAGAGCTACAGCGGGGTTAGCTCCCTGAGCCAGGAGCTAACACGGATGCGGTTCCCCTACTTATCAACTAATTGACTAGTCGATGGAAAATCTATCACGTAGTCGATTAGTTGATTAAAACTAAATTTAACATCCCTCCCCGAACCTATTACTGGCTGCTGCAATCACTAAGGAGTTTGGCATAGGTGAGTATCAAAAATATGAACACGCCTCATGCAGTAGTTCAAATAATTTGTTAGCTTTCTTAAGAGATAAGCTGACAAGAAGCAGGGATAGCACAAATTGCTTTAGCAGGTTGCAAGAAGCCATCGAATATAGGTACAAACATCCTTTTCCTGAAAGGACCACCAAAAATGTCAAATACAGATGTGATGCCACTTCCACAGCAACTGACGGCAAGTTCAAAGTAGTTTCCATATGATATATTAATTCAGAGTAGTAAAGCATCCTTAGAAGGAGATGACACAGAAGCAACACCCATGTGCTCATCAGAAGAAAAATCAGGTTCAAATTCTTTACCCACCTGATTATGCTTAAAAAGAGGAAGTAACTCCTCATTTTCTTACTCAGACAAAGCATCAGGCGCACCAGAGCTGCCGACAGATCTGATGGAATCAGATCCAAAGATTCCACAGAAGACAGAATACTACTATAGTACTTGATTCATACAGTGGATGACTCAAGAACTTTCACGGCAGAGCCCAATAAGACCATGAACCACAGGATTGCCAGTCTAGCCAACAACTGGTACCTGGGAACATACACATAGGATGGGGCAGCAGAAACTGTCCAAATTAAGGAAATCTAGACTTAGGTGGTATAAATATGGACAATTTAGACCTTTTAACTTGCCCTCTATCCTCTTCTAATCCAACCCAATTCCATTGTTATCTCACCAGAGATAGCTACGGCACTGGAGGATGCCTAGAAGGGGAGAAGGATCTGTTTGGAGATTCTGAAGGAGTTTCAGGAATGACACACAAAGATAGTGCTGTGGAAAGACACTCAATATTTTTCATTTTTCACCTTTTTTCAGGTGCAAGGGATATAGACATCAGAACCAATGATGTATTCCTCCTCTCTCTGAGCAATTTCTCACTTGGATCTAACAAATGATCTAACATCATACGGTGAATAGCTCCTACCACAATGACAGTCTTCTTCCAATCAGACATCAGCACCAAAGATAAACAAAAGCAACAATGGTCATTTGATAGACTTAGGGATCATCAGTTCTGGAGAAGGACTTAACGACATATTCCTGAAACATGAAGCCAAATGTGGAACAGACTTAGGTCTCAGAGACTGAACCGCAGAAGACCTATCCAAATTAGATGGAACCAATAAATCTGATCTACAACATTTGATACCATTAAGCATGACTGTCTTCTCTCTTCCTTTCTAATTTGGAACCATGACAGCAGACAGCTTACTCGTCATGGCATTAGCTATCAATTGAACAGAGAGGTACTTCAACACCATAGAAGCGTTAATATGATGATATGGTAACAGGAGCTCAAACGTACAGACTCAGAACCTTTAGGCACCATACTCCTTAGTAAATGAGGCAGTTGGAGATGAAACAGACCAATTTGCCTTCAGGTCAGATGGTCTCCAAGACCCCAATGCTTTAGTAGTAAGTGATTCTTAAGCAGGAACACTTGCAACTTATTCTGCCTCTCCTTATGTACTCTCAGGGTGTGTCTAGACTACAGAGTTTTGTCGACAAAAGTGGACTTTTGTCAACAAAACTATACCTGCGTCTACACTACCGCTGAGTTCTGTTGACATAACGTCGACAGAACTCAGCAGTTTTGTCGACGCTGGTAAACCTCATTTTACGAGGCATAACGCCTTCTGTCGACAGAGTTCTGTCGACAGAAGGTGTTATTGCATGTAGGGTTGTGTCTAGACTACAGGATTTTGTCGACAAAGCAGCTTGCTTTGTCGACAGAACTGAATGTAGTCGAGACGCTCTTTGTCGACAGAAGCTTTGTCGACAGTATCTGTCGACAAAACTTCTGTCGACAAAACCCTGTAGTCTAGACGTACCCTCAGTGAGAAAGTCTGACAAGCAGATGACCTAGAAGAAAAATGGCTTTCTAAAAGATGCTTAGGGTATGTCTATGCACCCTGCAGCAGCAAGTGTCCCAGGCCAGGCTGATAGACTTGGACTAACAGGGCTTATATTAGCACTCTAAAAATAGCTGCATAGACAGCACTTTGTACAAATTGCAAACACTAACTCTACAAGCTACCAACAATTAGCAAAGGCACTAGAATAGGAGGAAAAGCCCCTACCCAAAGGACAGAGCAGTTCACTTCCATCTGGTGGAAGCAATTCGAAGCAACTCGGTTAATTGTATGCACACAGCCCCCTTACTTAATCCCACCTTCTGAATCTTCAAAGATGCTGAGGGGAGGAGCAGGAGCAAGTACACTTGTGCTTTAACAGGAACTGCTTGGAGAAGATTCTATCATTAGGGTGCACAACTACAACACACGTTACTCAAACAGAAATATGCAACGCCACTGCAAAAAGTGAGAGTAGTGGTTTCCTTACGAGTTCACATCTTGCCCAAGTTATCAGGAAGAGAGGCAAAATAGCATCTGGACTATGACAAACTGAAATGCTTCTTAGCAATAGCTAGTGCCAAAACAGGGAGACATTATACCACATTTATATTGCCATAATATAGATAATAGTCTTAGATAAGGACATTAAGAGGTGGGTAATTGGCTAATCATGTAGACGATACAGTTTGTATCAACTACACAATTAGTCGATAAAGAAAGGCTCTCAGTCCCAGCTCACACCCGGTCCTGGAGCTACCCCTGCTGTGGCTCTGCATTTTAAATGTAGTAATAGCTGGGCAGCTCTTACTACATTTAAAATGCAAAGCCGCAGTGGGGGTAACTCCTGGATCCAGCACGAGCTGGGACTGAGTCGGGCTTGCTCATTCCCTGCTCATGCTGGGTCCAGCAGCCCCTGTGAACAGGGGATCCCAGCAGGGAGCTGGAATCCCTTGTGGATAGGAACTGCTGCAGGAGAAGCCGTGTTTTTGGCCAGCAGAGGCCCCTGTGGACTAAGGATGTTAAATATCGATTAATTCACTAATCGAGTAGTTGATGAAATTTTATTGACTACTCGATAGGCATTTCCGCATTACTCCTTTGAAATTCAGCATTTTCCTGGAACCCGGGGTCAGCTGGGGAGTCCCTAGCTGACCCTAGAGACTGCGCAAAATTTCCATGGGACCTGGAGTCAGCAGAGGATCCCCAGCTGAACCCTGGTTCTGTGGAAATGCTGCGCGAAGCCTGGGGTCAGCTAGGGACTCCCCAGCTGATCCTGGACTTTGCATGACATTTCCAAAGAAGCAGCACCGCACAGAACCCGGATCAGATGGGTACTCCATGGAAATGTCATGTAGAGCCCAGGGCCAGTTTTGAAATGCCACCACAGTATTTCAAAGGGGCAGTGCTGTACAGCTGATCCCGGACTCCGTGCGGGTGCTGCCCCTTTGAAACGTCACTGCATTTCAAAGGGGCAGCATGCACAGAGCCCAGGGTCAGCTCCATGCGGCAGCCCCTGTTCCCCCCCACCAGTTTGCTGCCTCTATCTGATAGAGGCAGCAAGGGGGGAGAGAGAAGCAATTAGTCGACTTGACTAGCCAATAAGCATTTGCTTATCAACTAGTCATCTAGTCCTTTACTTTACATCTTTATTGCAAATATAACTACTTCGCATCAGCAGCCTGTCCACAGCAGGCGGAGCACCCTCTGCTCATTTTGAGCCTGAACCTACTCCCCCCAGCACTGCCTTTTCAGCTGGCTCCCTCAGCACCAACTCCTGCTCCTCTCCCCTTGCTGCCTCTAGACTTATCAAGTAGAAATTAGTCTAATAGTTGACTAACATCCCTAGTCTCAAAAACTACAGGAAAGGGCAAAGCCATTATTAAAAACCGTTTCAAAGGCACAGTGTCAGAGCAAACCAGGACAAAAATTATTTGTGAACATAGGTGTCCCAACACATAATGTGTCACTATCTGAGACAGGCACACATACTGTATCCTCAATATTAAGGGAGAATATCAATTTTTAGAAGTGGCAAGATCAGTTTTAACAGACTGGGCACAAGTAACACATCTGATAATGTTATCCCCCAAAAGCCCTAATCTTATTAGGACAGGTGGGCCTACAGGGAACAGGTGGTACCAACGCACGTAGGAAAGAGCTTGCCAACTACTTTACATAGAATTTCAATAGCTGAATCCTTACATGGCACCTGTAGAAATGCTGAGGCATTGTGGGAGAAGTTCCAAGGTAAATGTGCTACAGCTATATTCTTAAAGAAAAAGCCTTTCTACAAAAGAACAGTTTTTATCATTTTAAAGAGAAAAATGAGTCTTTGATACTTTGTTTACATGAAGTAATACACCAGACTTCAACTAATAAAACTAGAATTTAACAGCGCAAGTTTCAGCTACTACTCAGACTTGGCTAAATTTGGGACTAGAGTTTTCATTACTAAACAACCACAGTTTTAAATAAAGAGTTTTTCTTGAAAGCAATACAGTCAACATGAAACTTAGTGTTTAGAAGATTAGTAAATAGGAGATTAGTAAATAGTGCCTGAGACTATATTTGCTCACAGACCTCTTATTAATATTTAGGATTTTGCAACCATGTTTTCTACATATAAAAATCTCTCTTTCTCTATTCACCTTGAAAAAACATACAACTGAGGAAACTGAGGTTACACAGAACAATGACAACATATCAAGTAAAAAAACCCAACAGTATTTTCCCCCTTTTATATCAGAAAACAGTGAGATTTCTAATATGACAATGTCCTTAATATCTGTAGCATTAAACAATGAGTAAGCCATAAACGTCTATATAATTCAACAATTAACAAACAAAAAAAACCCTAAAACCAAAAAAGACAGACCATGCAGTAGAAGTTCTTACATTTTAATTTTGTTTCCTTACCTGGAATGAATGAACAAAATTAAGAACCTGTAGAGACAGCTTTCTACTGGAATGTAAGAGTTTTTGAAGGCTGTCAAAATGGAAAAAAAACCAAACTATAAAACATGCATGTGTGCCAGTACATATTGTTAATGGGCTAGAATACCAGGCTTGCGCTCTTAAGAAAAACTCCTGGTGCATTTTTACACCACTTGTTAAAATAAAACAGAACAACATAAAACTATCATTGTATAAGAGAAACTCCAACCCATGGCCCCCGTTTTTAACAGCTCGGGTTTTGTTCTGTTCAACCAAGTTATTTATGTTGGGAACACCTGGGCTAGAGCAGCTGGGGTGCTGTCGGGTTGGTCCCCGCAGCGCCAAGGTGCATGAATAATTAACAATCCTCATTCTTGCATCTTACAATAGAAAGTTCTAGGAAGGTATGATACACAGCTGTTCTAAGTTCCTACTTACAATGCACCACAGCAATAGCTCCAATAAAGGTGACAAGCAACTTATTTATCTAGAAAATCCTCACTGCAGAGGTATATTTGGGCCACATTTTCAAATGGCCTTAAGCACTCTCTAAAATGGTGCTCCAAAAGCAGAAAGATTTTGCCAAAGCAAATGTGAACTACAGTAACACTCCAACAGTCCAGCATCCAGTTGTCCAGCACTCTTGATAGTCCGGCATCAACTGAAACCCATAACTGCCAAGGTCAGCCGCTCTCACAGCTGGGCCGCTGTGAGCCGCATGCACGCTCACGGCCTGCGCCGTTATGCTCACGGTCCCCAGCACACACAGTGTCCAACCTGCAGATGTCCAACCTGCACATGATTACTTCCTGTAGTCAGCCGCTGGTCAGTTTCAGCAGTGGCTGACTTGGGGATGCCTGGGGCAGAGCAGCTGGGGTGCTGCCGGGTTGGTCCAGTAGCGCCCAGGAGCGGTGCTGTGGGACCAACCGGCAGCGCCCCACCTGCTCTACCACAGGCCCCGGGCTTTGCTCCACGTCTCCCT